TTCCCCATGGACAACTAATCTCCTTGTTTATCCTCAAATCAAAAAAACACCAAGAAAAGTTCAAAGGAAATTTTTAAGGACTTCAAGAGTAAGAAAGAAAAACAGAAGCTTTTTAATTTATGTTTTTGCAGAAGGGTCTTCCCTTTAAGGAAATTGTACTGTGGGTTTTGGCACCACCTTCAACCCCCTGGTTAGAGGCTCCATGTTTTTTTATATACCCAGTAAAAACATGAAGATGATCTTTTGCTTCTGAGAATCGAGGAAATGCTTTATCTGTGGAATAAAACAAAGTTTCTTATCTTTTTTTTTTTCTAGGAGCTCAAATGGATGGGATGTGACTAGACGTTGAAATGACAGCCCGGTAAGTCAAATTTTATTTGGATTTTAGTATTTCTTTTTGCCGGATTGGTGTTTGACCAATTGTGAGAACATGTGTGCAATGTGTATGCATATATGTGGATGGTTGAGGTTTGGGCCTCTGTCTAAAACTTTGTTACATTTACAAACTACAAACTAATCTAAAAAAAATGCACAATTTGTGGGCTGTTGCATTGAGAGTCCTGTGATTTTTGCAAAATGTGGCAGATCTGTTGCAAAATGTGATGTGTCCCTTGGATGACTCCTCAGATTCTTCCTTGGAGGTCAGCTCGGGGCGGGGGTGTGTGAGCTCATTTCTGGCATGTCAGGAACTGGTTAATTGATTACTTTGAATGGCCAGCTGAAAGAGATTTGTGGGAGGCTTCAGCTGGGGTCAGTGAAGAAGAGAGAGAGGAGGAGATGCCTTCTGTGATGGATCAGAGAGCACACATGGCAGAGAAAAGACAAGAGCAATGGAGATCTGCCAGATTACTTGGGAAGTGGCCCTGCCCATCTTGATGGGCTGTACCGGAAAGCTATTTACCACAGCAGGTGTAGGGAGGCGTTGCTGGAAACAACATGTTTGGTTTCTGGCTGTGTGTGCTTGTTCCTCATTCTTCTTGCTTGACTTTGTGCCTTGGAGACTCGAACTTATCTTGCCGAGTGAGCTCTGGTGGCTGCTATTTCACTTTGGCCTGGCGGATTTAAGTTGGTTGGTTGGACTTATTTGTTGGAGCGACTTTCCATTGTTTTATGGACTATTGGCCATTGCCTTGTGGCTGGATTTATTTGGGACAGTTCTGAGCCTGGGGGAAGGGAATTGCTGGGGAATATCAATAAACACTCTAAACCACGTGAGTGTGTGTGTGTGTGTGTGTGTGTGTGTGTGTAAGTAAGTGAGTGAGCGGGGCATTGCACAAACTGAGATTGACTCAAGTTCTTTTGGTCTGTGTTGTGATACTTTGACAAACTTATGTTGTGCGGCTTACTTTTATAGCTCTGATTCTTTTTAATTCTCTGGAGAGGACATTTATTATTTCTTCTCTACTAGATTGCATTATATGTTGATTGCACATTCAGCTCGGTCTTCAGTGGAATCAACTTGTGTCTTATCTTAAGATTTGC